CTATGAAGAACATGGGAGAGGAAGACGGAGCAGCCGTTGTCATTGTTGTCGGTATGAGTGCAAGGTCTAGGCATGACTGACTAGGAACTCTGGTGGGCTGTAGTATGACGTTTTGTAAGCTGTGGTCAGCGCAGAGGCCTTGTACATAGCGGGCGTTTGGGTGAGGTGGGACAGAGAGCATGTTGACATTGTAATCACCGAGGAGGAGGATGTCCGGACATGTTGCGGAGGCCATCTGAACGCTATTGTCGAGCTGCTCCCAGAAATCCACATGGCTGTCGGGAGCGCGGTATACGCAGCCGATGGATAGAAATGGATTCGTTCGGCTATGGGTGTGCAACCCCACGAATATGGTCTCTAGCCTGTCGTTTACTTGAAGTTGCCTGGATTTCAGTTGTTCCTGCACATACATGGCAACGCCGCCACCCTTTCTGCGATCAGCTCGGTCCCGGCGATAGAGAGTGTAGGCTGGTATAGCAAGATCGCAATTCATCACAGTAGAGTCGAAGCATGTTTCACTGATTGCTAGCACATCAATTCTGTACTTGTACATTATGCAATGGATTTCATGAGTTTTATTTCTTAGGCTACAGATGTTGATGTGGGCGATGGTTAAGCTCTTGATGGGTGAAGACGGACAATCAGGCACTGTTTGACTGGATGGATAGTTACAAGGATTTCTTAAAATGTTAGGTGCTGGGTCAGCGACGACATCTGTTGCTCGGAGATGAGGTGAAGTAGCTGAGAGGGAGTGTTGCTGGTGATTACTTGGACACCCTGATGAAACCTATTGTGTTGCTAGCTCATTGATTTCAGTTGCACTGTATGGGGTGCCATCTGGGTTCAAAATCTCACCATACGGTAGCGAGCAACGGATCTCCTTTTGGCGGAGTTCCTTATACCAAGGCAGGGCCTGTCGTCTAGCAATCTGCTGTTGCTTGGTCAGGTCGTTGTTCACGTACATATCTTGATCATTCAGTTTCAAATCCAGACGTTTACGGTACACTGATAGCTTGGCCTCGTGGCTTTTCATGCGTAGCCTCACTGGCCTGGCCTTATCCTGTACGGCTTTGCTGGCGGAACCAATGCGCTCTGCAGAGAGTATTTGGTCAGCACTAATCTGGAGGAGCTGCTCACATCTGGATGACAGTGCTACGCTGTCCTCATTGTCCGCTTCGGGGATGCCCCTGAGAATAAGGTTTTCCGACCTCTTCACCCTCTCTACCTCCTCTGCTATGACCTCGGCAAGCTGCGTTGCACTGTGGCTCCCAGCTGTCTGCCACTTGTTTCCACGTGGTGCATTGCTTTGCACCGCACTCCTGGTACGGTGCACAGGGTCATCATCTCGAGTACGGAAAGTCCTCTCCATCTCCTCCACTCTCACTTCAAACTTCGTCAGCTTCTCTCTCAAAGAGCGATTTTCCGCCATTACACTTTCTAGCTTCAGGGAGATTTCTTGAAAGATGCTGTTAACTCTCATACTCAAATCCTTCTGCTCCCGCAATATCTCGTTTAACGTGCTGCGCATTGACGCAGTGTCGTCCTGTTGCGCCTGGCTCCCGTCATAACAGGTGTTGTCAATTTGCTGTCGCAGGCCGTCAGGAGGCGAGCGATCCGCCGCGGGAGACTTTCTGCTCAACCTCTCAGGAGTTTGGCGAAGAGAAGACGACTTCACACCTGTAACTGCTACTGGCAGCCTGCTTGGCTGACTGGCTGGCATGCTGGGGGAGAACAAGGGGGGACTTTGACCAGAGCTCAAAAACCTGCAACCAGTTCCTACGTCACAAAACTCCACGAGCATAATTCCTACCAAAATCGAATAATCGCATAATTTGAGGCAAATTGCATACGAATCGCATAAAATTGGAATAATCCGCCTGTTCGCATCAAATTCCATACAGTTGTACATGTTCTACAAGTACAAGTACAAGTAGATGCACCAGGAAGTCGTAGGTTTACGACTCCCTCGAGAACATGTCCAGTCCACTACAATCAGTGACGGTCGTAGCTAGGTCGGACGGTGCGTTGACCCCGTTGAACTTTTGCTACTACAGTACAACGCCCTCTACAAAAATATTCCCCTGTTATTTTGCACGGAACTATTAAACATTAGCAGCATAGGTGAGCAAAATGCTGCATAATATGATAATTTTTAGCATAAAAATAGCAAAATTCTGCAATTTGTTCAGCAATGCGAAAAGCATAATTTCACGAAAATATTAGCATAATCTGTCAAGGCCTATTGCTACTCTAACTTGATTCCTATATTATTTCCTTTGTTCTTATTTTGTTCTTTAGTACAACGGTGATTCCTGAAGAGTGTTGCATGAAAACATGCTCGAACCTTTTTTTTTCCATCGCTTTTTCTCCTTGCCTTTTATATCGTTTTTTTGCATCGTCTCCAGAACTTATTGTTTAATAAAGTAGTCCAAATATCACTTAAGCTCGTCCTCCTTATTGCAATTTTAAAATTGTTGTCTCCACGTCGAATATTAAAAGGAGACTGTTTTAATTTTTCATCGAAATTTCACGAAAAGATAACAACCCATTCCTTTATTACGCTCTTGCTTGTAGCAGTTTAGCACTCTTGTGTGGGGTAGTGCCTTTGCTGTTTGCGTTCCTGAGTTGTCAGTTTGAGCACTCTGACAAGTTACGTTCCGACTTGGTTTAAATCTGGCTTTGGTAACTGTTTTTTTCATTGCTACCAGGTTCGGGCTCATTTCCTCTGTGCTGATGAATCAACTAAGGACGAAACAGTTCTGTCCGCAGATTGAGTAACAATCCATTCATAAAGCCTTTTTATCAATTTTTGTTCGAAAGTACAAATAAGATATCACGAGGTTAGGGAGGGTTCCTCTCCAGAGATACAACGAGTAACATTTTCAAACTTCATCTCCACGTAATCAATCACCACACATCTATGCAAGAACGGAATTCCTCGCTATGGTTTGGTGAATGTGGACCAAGAGCGCAGTGCGGAGAGGTGACGAATTTCAATTTATTTTCAAATGGCCGAGTTTGTCGCAACTTCTGAGTTATCTTCACCTTGCCGTTTAAGTAGAAGTAGTAGTAGTAGTAGTAGTAGTATTTTACTTGGGTATACCCAACAGGCCTATGGCCTTCTTACAGGGTGCCCAAGGAGAAATTGTGAGCAGCTAGCGCGAAAAGCAGGCAAGGTGCACTTGGATCGTATGATCGCTGGTAGTGCACCAAGAGCGGTCAGCACCAAGAATTGAGAGACTGTAGAGGCCTGGCCGGGACATGAATAGGGGGAGAAAGAGACTACTGAATGTTTGGCCTCTGGTCTGGGAGGTAGTGTGGATAGCATCATTCCGGGTCGTGAAGATGTGTGAGGTGAGGGGACTGCCAGAGACCTGATGCTCCGAAAAGTAAAAATCAACAGCTTCAAATGTCGGCAAGAATCAAACCTGACTAATGTATGGTGTAACCTTCACATCCGCACACGTTACATTTATCTGTGGTCGCTTGAGTAATGAAAGCGGGACTCTAGTAAAGGCCCTGCAGTGAGAGTCGTCACAGACTGGAAAGAAAATCACATCCCTGTCGAGCTAAGCAAGAGTGTTTGCGGGAGACCCAAGAACGCGACATAGGAGAACAAGCCACGGAATGTAAGTTATATATAAATAAATTTTTCCTGTGACTCTGTCAGGCAGAGTTTTCGCATCCACACGAGTGTCAAAACTCTGCAGGATCGCCGCGGATCAGACCGACCATCAAGTGGTCAATGAGTTACGAAATAACTTTATGGTGAACCACACTTCCCCCATCCGATACACATGTACTCGTATGTTTTCATTGCCTATACTTCCTCCGCCCAAGCAAAATTTTCGCTTCTCTTTACACTTTTTACTGATACATTCCAGGTTCTCAGAACGGCTCCTAACGACTCAGAATGAGTTGAGGAGTCGTTCAATATCAAGAGAAACTCTCCAAGTAAAAAAATCTAGAAGTTATCCTTTGTCATCAGCCGACGCAGTATATGTTGTCGGGTAGTACTTCGCACTTTCAGAAGCGCAAGTACTTCGTATCGACACTTTTCCAAGCGCTTCACCTCCTTCATGAGTACGATCAGTCGTGTTTCTTACCAGCCGAAGCGGACGAGCTCAGCGTCGTTTTGCAGGATCGTTCACGTTGCCATCAGGCGAATGAGCTGGGTGAGTGACAACCCTGTCATCGAAGCCTTTCTTTTCCCCCTGTTTTGCCCAGTACCGATTCTGGTTTATTTTTGCAGTATGTGGGCGAGCGGCGCTGAGTGGCTTTCTCAGCTTCAAGCTCACGTGCAGTTTTACCGTACACACGTCTTGTGCCGGATGCAATCAAACACGCTGGCTTTTCGCAACATGACACCTCTGCTCTGTACCCCAGTGGTACTCTAGCAGCACCCACCTTGACTAGTGACTGACTTCGTGTCTTTTTTACCAGTTCACTCGCATTCAACGCGCTCTTCTCTAGGCGTTTCTTTACTCTTTGCCGACTTCGCCGACTTGTTTGGAACTGGTACGCCTGAACCAGCAGATTTGTGTGATGGTGAAGTGCACAAGATGAAAAAATTGCTGCCAGACACCTGTCATTGGGCTGAAGGAGATAAGCAAAATTTTGCCTGGGCGGAGGAAGTATGTTTCATTCAGTATTTTAACGGTCCTTTGAAAGGAACAGAAAGGACATAACGGCAGTGTCTAGGAAGAGTAGATAACGTAGAAGGTAAGTGAAACGGTCTCCCTCTCCAGTAGACGTGTAAGGGGAATGAAATTCGGAAATTTTGGCCTGTGCTGCTTTTTGGTTTTGTTGATGTCGTTTCTTTTCCTTTCAAGGAATCCTGATCCTGGCGTACTTTGTGTGTGCAGACGCCAACAACATCAAGCTGGCCTGAGTAACACGGCCCCATCACCACTACCGGCATTTATTGGGAAGCATAGTGGACGTAACTCTGCTAACTTAGAAACATTGTTGAGTCACACTTACATTACAGCGTCACTTACCTTAAACTGAAGCACCATAGTGCTCGTCTCTACTGGTTGCAACACTGTTGAAAACCAGCACTGGGAAATGTTCTCAATTACAATGGTAAATTCAAATCCGGCCAACAAAACCCTATCGGAGACAACGGAAGGATAGGAACCATCGAGTAACCTTGAATCAATCAACATTCACCAAAAAAAAACTACCCAAAATGTTTCCACATACCAGATGTTGGTGTATAATCCAGGATCAATTGGGTGTAGCACACAAATCACGATAAGGTTCGTTTGCCTTGCGAAAAGGAGCGCTGGTTCCGAGAGCAAAGCCCTCAATGAAACAAATTAATTACTATCTGCTCGCTTTCTGCTTAGACTCTCTGCAAGCATAATTATGCCAAAGACACGCACGATGAGTGCCATGATATCAGTCAGTGGTACTCCGTAGCAGCTCGATTGGCTGCTGCACGTAGACATCGTTTGCTGACCCACTAACACAAGCCTAGGAAATGAGCTACACGTACATGTACATGTACATGCGCCCGTAACTAGATGGCTAATGTATACCAGGGCTATGAGTGCCACGCAGTGGTCACATGCCAGTCCTACTGTGCAAGTATGTTCGACATGTCATGAGCTCAAACACACAAGCTTATCGATAACGTGACATGTCACAGGAATATTTCCTAACTATACATGGAAAGGATAAGACGCGATATGACGCCAATCAGAGAACATGGCACGCTGCTACACCGACAGTAGTCGAAAATAGCTCTTAGTCGGCTGAACTCAGCCTCACATGACTTTTACATTGCGCCTGCGGCAAACCCGCCTATTAACTGCTTGTCATCAAGATGTCATTAGATGAACTGCATGGCATTGTGGAACGTGCCAAACACATCCTTGTTCGTCGCTACATGTGCGTACATGTGCGTACATGTGGGTACATGTGCTTACATGTGCTTACATGTGCGTACTGTATAGGCGATGTACAAGAGCCCGAATGAGCCAGACAGCATAGCCAGCAATCGCATGTCATCACGTACATTGAAAATCAACATAATTTTGCGAATCGACCTTTTTTTCAGGATCACTTTTCAACGAGGACGAAGCAAAGTCGGCCGAACGAAGCCTACAGGAAGAAAATCACCCTCTCCACTTCACCATCACGATACTGACATAGATACGAGATGAAACAACTAAAAAATCCACAAGAAAACTGTATGACCATCATCGCGCTGACTTTGGTCTGACTTTGGGCTGAGAATTTCTATCACGATCAAAAATGTACGAGGAGCACTCAAAAATCAGCCACAGACGTACCTTTATCGCTCTCTACTCCTTTTTCAAGACACAAAAGTCGACTCTCCACTTTCAAACCAGGAACCAGACATACCAGTGGTCCTTTTCAGCTGCTCCACGAGCGCAGGAAATGTTCACCAAGGGGCGCAGAGCAGCATCCATTCCAGAAAAAGAGCTAAAATACGAGTGAGACTGCATGCCTGAGTACATGAGTACATGTATGAGTACATGCAGAAAGTTTTGTTTTTTCACGGCTGAGCGTAGCGAAAGAGTGCAAAAAACGTATTTTTCACTCACAAATATTTTTGTGCATTTGCTCTTGTTCTGCGCAACTCCGTTGAACCTGCCATCGTGGTCTTTGTTTTTCCTCGTGGTAGTTGAAGTTTCAAGTGCTCCAGTTTTAGTTTCCACTCGCAGCCACACAACACCACAACTCATCTTATTATTTTTTCAGAGTAGATCTACAGTGTAATAGTCCAGAAGAAAGAAATGACAGTGCCGTGCACCGTCTATAATGAATCGGTCCAGCCTACAAAGGTCCACATCGCCTGATTGGGCCTGCAAGCTGATGTACCAGTAACCTGACGTTTTTGGGAGCTGCAGATCGATCTGCGAAAGGCGGAAACAGCTAAAACGAGCTGAGCGCAATCCGCCACACACAAGCAAGTTTGGTACCAGGCGGAGCAGAGTCACCATTGACAGCTACACAAATCAGGGCGTTTCGGACGACCAGCAAAGATTGTGGAAGTAAAATTTAGTTGACAAAACAATTGGTCACTCAGTTCCGACATGTCGAGTCGACACCTACCTGTACCGCAACCATACTCCTCAAAGGCTTCAGCGAGTCCTTGAGAGTTTTCCGTGGGCGCAGTGATGAGATCGAGAGTCTACGGAGTCGGTGATGAGCGCTGTCGATCACAACATCGTGTCCCAAATGGTGGCGAAGCTCCTGGCAGAGGTGACACCGCAGTCATACGAAGTAGTTGTCTGATATCGTGGCGAAGGGCAGCAAGGTCGTAGCTGTCTGTTGACAACACCAACCGGAGTTCACTGGGACAGCCAGCCAGTTTTCGCACCGCACATGGACCGGAGAGAAAAGATAAGTACACTGTATCAGTACTTGAGACTGTGGATGTTTTTTCGATAATTTACGAAGTACATAATCATGTAGTTGACACAATCGAAAGGGGTGTACATGCCGTCGTATTCAAGGGAGCAAACAAACGCCCAGCCCGTACCGCCCTAGGCCCTACACAGGGTGCATGATCAATGTCACGGGACCATCAGAA